CAATCCTAAACCCTAAACCCTAAACCCCTAAACCCTAAACCCTAAACCCTAAACCCCTAAACCCTAAACCCTAGAGTTGTCCGCTCCAGGGCTTCAGTCTCCTGGGGTGCTGTGAGATTCGGGCTTAGAGGTTGTCTCAGCACCGGAACCCGAAGCCTGTTGTTGCGTTGCTTCTGGGGTGCTCAGACAGCTGGGTTTAGTCTTTGGGGTTTAGGGTTTAGGGTTTAGGGTTTAGGGCTTAGGGTTTAGGGTTTAGGGTTTAGGGTTTAGGGTTTAGGGTTTAGGGTTAGGGTTTCAGTTCGGGGGGAGGGGGCAGGGGTGGGATCAGGTTTGGGGCCTGGGGGCGGAAGCTTTCCCCGTCCCCCCACTCTCCTCTTGCTGCATCCCCATCGAACAGCGAACGGAGCCAGCCAGTCAGCCTACGTTTAGTCCGCGTGACATCACCGCCAAAGCGCTAAACCCTTAACCTAAGAAGCGAAACTCAAACACCGTAAGCTCCAATGCCCTAAACCCTAGCAGCACCGGCACATCACGAGATCCGAGTCTTCGAGATCTCAGAAAGTTTGGGGGGTTTGAGGTTGAAACGACTTTGGGGATTGTTACAGGACTCTGAGCACCCTAAACCCTAAACCCCGAGACCCCTAAACCCTAAGAAGCGGGTTCCCGGACTCGGGCAACGCCTCTGTCTCGGACAGCTTCTGGGGCTCGCCTGGCATTGGAGGACGGCGCGGGCTCCGTTAGGGTGTACAGTAGGGTTCAGGGCTTCGGGTCTGAAGGGTTTAGGATTTGAAGGGTTTTCTCAGTCTAACGAGGTCCTGGCAAGAGTGAAGCGGTCAGCAATGGCCTTCGATAGAATGGTCGTGTCGGATGAGCCGACAAAAGATCTGGGTTTCTGTGAGGCTACTTTGATTCAAGGAACATGGATAAGAAAAAACACGATCTTCGCCGGGGTGTCTACTGTCTTTGTAGTGTGTATGGACGAACACGTAAACAGTAGCGCTCGCGCTCCCGGTGTGACGCTGTCTTCTCGGGCACCTGGCAGAACTATGTAGCGGGCAAACGGAAGAGGCCATGCAAACACAAGGAACGATCGAAGTGCCACGCACTGGAGTGCCAGGAAAGCTGCCTTAACGGCATGCATGACAATCAGAAGCAAGCAGTGCTGTGGATGTGGAGTGTCGGTCCTCGTCCTTTTGGGGGTATCACTATGTGACCGTGATATCTCAGCCTTACCGTTTATTACCCTGCCGCGGAAAGTATCCAAGGAGCCCGGCAGGCATGCGACTTGCTCTACAAAGGCTCCGGCTCTACGTAGCGTTCTTTTGCCGCTTCGGACTCCGCGTGGCGGTTGTCGAACGGTCACCGAAAACTCTTGGGTTCGCGGCTTGGCTCTAGAAGTAGGGTCGTAGTTTGGGGCCTAGGTCCTAGGTGCTTTTGGGCTTTCGGGTGCAACTGATGGGACTCTGGGTCAATCGGCAATCGCAAACTCTCGGACAACCTTACTGCAAGCAAAACACGCATGATGATTCTTACAAGGAGCAAAAGAGGACAGCATAAAACAGACGTCTTTACGGCGTTCGAAACCAGCTTGCCCTTTGCCAATGATGTTGTCTCAGTTTGTTACTGTTTCACAGCAGTGCTGCCGGTACGATCCCACGTAGCCTGCCTCCTGAAACGATGCGGTGCTCTTCTGGCACGTCGGCTTTCTGGCGCACGCACACACACACACACATGGGGGTATGGCTTGGGTCGACGAAGATTGATACAAAAATGGAGGCCGACAGGCTCAGAGTCTTTATCTGTCAAGGTTGTCTGCATGCTTTGTAACAATTACATCAGCTAGCAGCTAGCAGCAGCAAAGCCGAAACAAGACAAGGGAACTCTTCCTTCTGCACAGGACTGCACAGTAACCTACGAACTTAATGCGGTACCCTTGCGGCAGCAGCCACGTCTGCACACCCTGGGGATGAGAAGACCGCACTCACCGAGTCGACCCTTCCAACACAAAACTCAAAATCAGCCCGGATACCTTAAACCTTAGACCCTATACCCTAAACCTCTAAAGCCCTAAAGCCCCAAACCCTAAAACCGATACCCAGCCAAAGCGTGCTTCCCCGGCCCTGGAGTGGGCGAAGTAGTAGCTTGTCTCCCCTTTCACGGCGATGGAGTTCTGGCAGGACGTGCTTGCTTTCAGAAGCAAACTCCACTTCAGATGCATCTTGCGATGCCATGAGCCTGGCGAAAATACATGCAGCTTGCTCGAACGACTCCAACCGACCTGAGCAACACAAACGGCCCACGCGGAAAACCTTCGGGGCACTGGGCGAGCCGGTGTGTGCTGGAGCCAAACTGGAAAACAGCTGGGACGTGCTTTGGCCAAGGGCTGTGAGGGCTCCGGGCAAAACCTGAAACAGAACCCCGTGTGATACAGAATGAATTGAATGAACCGTCAAGCCTAGACCCCAGGATTGTAAGCCGAACAGCACCAGCTTGGCCCATCCTTAACCCTAAACCCAACCCTAACCCTGAACCCCTAAACCGCTAAACCCTAAACCCCCAAAACCCTAAACCCCCAAACCGCAGCCTGCACTGCATCCTCCGGAAGATCCTCATCTTCCTAGGTAAAGATCTGGGGTGTTGTCTAAATTAGGGTCCCCTTTTAGAGGTCCGAAAGAAAGAACGGCACCCGTATAAAAGGGGAACCTATTTTCGGAAACCCCCATTTTTTGGTGAGCCGGTCTCTAACCAAACTGAACCGGGGCCTCCTTTGACAAGGACTCCTTGTACAGGGTTTAGGGTTTCGGGTTTAGGGTTTCGGGTTTAGGGTTTAGGGTTTAGGGGTTTAGGGTTTAGGGGTTTAGGGTTTAGGGTTTAGGGGTTTAGCGGGGTTTCGGGTTTCGGGCTAGGGGCGACTGTACGGGTTCTAGGATTCAAGGGGCTTCAATAGGTAGAATAGAGTTTTTGGACAAAGAGTACAAGGGATCCACAAGGAATGGATCTAGCAAGTATGCAGAGCCCTAGACTGTGGAGAAACATCCTCTGAGACGTTTTGGGATTTAGGTTTTAGGATTTATGTACGTGAATCCGAGTGCACTGAGGCCCCGACCACATGGTTCTGATGACCACCCCCGGCCACACCTGTCTTGCGAGGGTCCAGGCGGCAAACGTGCAAACGTGAATTCTGAACGCCCCCCCTCTTCCGTGGCCAAAGTCCTTTGTCCTGTTCTCATAACAAGAACGTCACAACCGCAGACGCAATATCCTCATGCTGCAGACCTAAAACAAACTACACAGCGAAGCATAAACAGAGTGCAGCATGAAAACAGTTCGTCATACACTGCTGCTGCCCGGTGATGGCGTAGACAAAGGCTCCAGATCTTTCCAACATCCCTCTATGCCTGCAGAACCGGTTCGGGTTTAGGGTTTAAGGTTTAGGATCTAACCCTAACCACCAGAAGCTTGAAGGACCAGCATACGAAAGCTGGCCGGCATCGCCGTGCACTCCGACGGTCAGGATGGCCTGAGCAAGGCCCAAAGGGTGCAGGATTTCGGGCTCACGGTTTGGGGTGTAGAGTATGCGGTTTCTCCCCGATTCCCCCCCCCCCGGTTCCCGGAAACCCGAAATGAAGACATGTTGTATGTCCCTGATCCCACCCACCCTAACAGCTTGCACGAAATGCCTGCCGGTGCTTCCTTAAAGCTCCGATCTCCGCTATTCAATCAGCTCCGGAATCCGAGAAAAACAGTTCACCGGACTCGCGAGGCAGGCACCCCGTCGCGCACGTCCTCCGCTTCGAGCATCACGTCGTCCCGCAGCCACTTCTGAAGCGAGGTCGAAGGGAATCAGGGCAAAGCTACAACCGGCTCATGCAAAGGTCGAAGGGGGTGGGGGCAGTGGCGTAGCGGCTTCCGAGTTCTCTTTGAATTCCGCAAACAGAAGTCTGAGCTATCAAGCCCAAGCGAAACCGGAGCTTTGCTTTGGGCAGGACTCTCTCTTCTTAGCCAACAGCCCTGTGACGGCACCTGTCTGGAGCCCTCTTCGGCATTCTGGAAGAAGATCTCCTCCCCGCTGCGATTGAAAGACAACCCTTTTCAAGTGCCCCAATCCTGTGAATATGTCGAACGTTTGAATGCCAGCAAATTTCTTTCTGGTTACCGAGGGGTCTTTGAAAGCCCTTCTCATCTATGTAGCACCCTACGCTTTGTTCGATGACCTTTGCATAAGAGGGTTTACGCATGGCTGCCCGGATGTAAGAAGTGAAACCCACAAGCCGCGGAAACACCTCAGGGCTGCGAAGCGTTCACTTTGTCTTCTTTCCTTCTCAAGCTGCAATCCAACTAAGAACTATTCATGAACGATGCTAACGGCCAGCACAGGCACCGGTAACAAGGCTGGTTGCCCATCACAGAAAAGCAGCTACAAATGCCAGATTTCCTTAACCTAAACCCCTAAACCCCTAAACCCCTAAACCCCTAAACCCCTAAATCCCTAAACCCCTAAACCCCTAAACCCCTAAACCCCAAGCACATGCGGCTTGGCCACCATGTCATCCACGGGGATGTTGAAGGCCTAAGACGGCCGAAGTAGGGTGCTTTCACGGAAGCTCAAGTTTCAAAGAGTTAGGGTTCTGGGCCGCGTCAAGATGAGCTAGGTTTAGGACAGCCCCGGGGTTTCTGGTCTCCACAAGTTCTCGCGCAGAGTGTTTGCCCAGATATGTTCGTGCATCCACCAACTACTCCAAGCCTTCATCTGAAGCCGGGACCTTCTCCAGATCCTTCTTCAGCTTCGCACATGTATCCTGCCCATGCTGAACTACTCGCCGGAGTCTTGCAAGCCTTGCTTGTAGATACTTACCAACATTATTCTTTTGGGTGCCTTGCTACACATAGTCTATGTCGGAACACAAACACCCATTCTACTTGTTGTGCCATGGCTAGGTTGTTCGCAATAGATTCTCGTCACAATTGCAAGCACATTCAAACCTAGCATGCCATATTCCGGTGGGCCTGTCATATCAGCACTCACGTGTCTTGTTGAGCATACTCGTGCGAGGAATGTCTCGAAGAGAAGCGGACTTGTGAACAAAGATTTTGCCTTCAACACAAGAACACCTCTAAAGCGCGCAAAAGGACCGCGATCGGAAAGTGTGAAGGATTTTTGCGCATATGACCCAGCCACAAGATGGCATAGTTCGACACGATCCCACAGCAGAACTTCTAGCAGCCTGTACGGCATCAAAACTTACGAAGACGCCGTCTCCACGGCCTCTGCGGCGAACCGCTCATGTCGCGTGGCTGATCGAAAACTCAGAGTTGAGTACCCGGTCATGATTCCCTACGTCTCAAGCTGCAACAAATAATAGAACCCTCAACCCCAAGCCGCAGACCGCAAGCCAATTGCTAGAAGTTGAGTTCAGTTGTAGATGCAGGAGCCGTCGAACGGAGCCCATCATCTTTACGCCGGTCTATGTTACTCCGCAACCCCCCCGTAAAATCGTAAGGTAACTGCCAAAAGGGTTTCGGGCTTCGGGACACCCCACAACCGTTCATTCCAGCCTGTGCACTCCGAATTTCCGAACCAGCGGAAAGCAACTTCGCAGAATCAAAGCATTTCTTCGATTGCACGACGTGAGATCTTGCTACTCTCTAGGCTCATTTCGCGTTACATTCAGCGTTCAGGTTGCAGGCACTCCATGCAAACATGCACGCTGGTCGTGCTTTGACGACGGTTCTTGGATCTGGCAAAAGGTACTGCTGTCGCCGTCAAACGCAGATTCCTGAATGATGCACTTAACCATGATAGAACCTTCACCCACCCACACAGACTTCAACTATTAGACGGTTTAGACTAAGTGCCCAACCCCTAATCTGCGGGATTGGAACCTGAATCGCTCAAAGCGTACCATAACATGAGGTTTCTGATTCGCAAGAGTGCCAGTAGTGCAACGCAACAGCATTAACAGTAGCAGTACAGGCAATAGCAATAGCACTAGCACTAGCAATAACAAGTGCACTAGCAACAACAATGATAACAACAATAAGAAGAAGAACAAAGATAGTAGTACTCCTAGTGATAAGAATAATAATAGTAGTAACAATAGTAATAATAATGTCTATACAAAAAAATAAAAATACTATAAATGATTCGAGGATCTGGAGTTTAAGGTTTTGAAAAAAAGGCAGGGGCCAGATTACGGTGCAGGGTCGCAGGTTCCAGTCGAGTTCTGCCAGAGCGCCCAACCTGGGGTAGCAATATTAGGGTTTAGGGGTTTGGGGGTTGAGGGTTGAGGAGTTTAGGGTTTAAGGTTTAGGGTTTAGGGTTGAAAGGGGTTTAGGGTTTAGGGTCGTTTATTCTCGGGCTGCCTTATCTTCAGTTGCAAAGAGGTGTACTTATGCAAACACCACTTATGTGGGTTATAGTACTATAAGTCTCGTGTGCCCAAAATACAGCTTCTTTCCAAAAACCCTGAACTTTGCACTCCGACAAACATGAAATTCCTCTACCTCAAGGCCTCGAGATTAGAGCCAGGGGTTTAGGGTTCAGAGTTTAGGGCTCAGGGTTGAGGCTTCAGGATTTGGGGTTTACAGTGTTTGAGGCGCAGGGGCCGGACAGAGTACTTCAGGCTACAGCTTTTGCTTCGTCCGCCTAGCTTCACGGATCAACACTACCTCGCGAACACTTTCCAGGCGCCTCCCAGCCAATACTGAAAAATTGATGTTCTAATCCACTGACTGATTCTCCCGCCGATGGTCTGGCAACCTCAACTTTCGAAGACAAAGGCATACAAAGACACATGGGCAAAAAGCAGGGCAAGAACTCCTTACATCCCGACCGAACATCCCGAATGAGCAGAGGAAAGGCCTTGCGGCTGGCCTTCAGCTCCACCTCCATGCGCGTCGGGCATGGTTGACACGGGATCGTTGAGAGTGGGAAGGTCTTGCTGGGGGTGTACTGTGCGAGCTTTGCCTTGCGCGATGCTGCAGAAAACAACAAATTTCATGATGCCAAGTAGCAACATTGAAACAAAGCAAGCCAGCAGCTTGTTTGGGCTTGCCAACATCGAAGCGAGCTGAAAGGGTGCGGCCCACACAATGCAAAGATCCACTACCTCAGACCCATGTCATTGGGGCATCGGCCTCCTGACAAGTCCCGCCGCCCGCCGGCACGATTGCCTGCACGCTTCAGGCAGATGGAACTTGCAGGCCCATGACATCCGGTCGCGCTACTTATGGCTTGCCCGCTGCCGACCCACTCCTTGCCTGGAGGGTCACCTCGTCGCCGCCCGCCATGGCTGGTGACGTAAGTAAGTATCCGCAGACTGCAAGACTTAGGCATCACCATCTGTCTCTGCTGACTGCTACTTAAAGTAGAACAAGCCGAACAAAGAATCACGGTCACATTAGCAGAATCGTTAGCAAGATTCTTGCACCAAGTGCAGCCGCCACGCAGCGAGCAGTGTGCCGATATCCCTATGGTCCTCAAACCCAAGACGCTACCTAAACCCTACAGCGTAGTGATTCAGTGAGAGCAGCTGCCTGCCGACTTCATCACGAGTCTGCATGCTCTAGGAGGCAGAGTCATCCTTAAAACAGTCCCAACGTGTTGGGTGCTCCATGCGGAATCAAAACTGGAAACAGCTTGACGAGGCGGCAGATCGAACCCAGAAAACAGGCGGAATCGATGCAACTGGAGGTTCGCGAGCAAGGTGTCGAAACCATGGTGGGCACAGGGTTTTCTTGCCCAAGGGTTTGGGCTTGCTGCTCAAATGCTCCTCTTGAGATCCTCAGCACAAGAACATACAAGGGCCTCATGACATCAGATCATCGGCTCTCAGCTACTTGCTGAACACGCAGGGCACAAGTTCCGGGAATTCCACATCTCTATGGATACAGAGTGGCGCTCACTTCATTAGCCTGCCCCGCTGTCGACCCAGAACCCGAAACCCCAAGCCAAAGCTAACATGGCATGAACTGTCTGTTCTAATGATTCGAACGTATTAAAGCATTCTATAGGATGGTATCATGACCCCCCTCTCCTAAGAGAGGCGTATCATGACCCCCCACCCAGCACCCACCCACCCACCCATCCACCCACCCACCAGCGCTCTCCGCGTTGTTTCTTGCCCTCCAAAGCTGAATCGATGTTGCCCAGCCGGCGCACGCTGGAATGCCACTTCACATGGTCCGCCTGTCCTGCCCATGTCTTTGATGCAAGCATCGGAGCTCCAATTCTTGTGAGGCTTCCTTTAAGACTTTAAGGCTCACAAAAAAAGGGTTGCCCCTAAAAGAAGAGCTTTATCTTAAGAAACCCTGGGTCTGCCTTTTTTTTGCGGCTCTTTCTAGGAATTTTCCATATTTTGGGGTTCGAGGGCCAGGGCTTCTTAATCAGGTCCCTACACTGCAAGGAACCCTAAACCCTAAACCCTTAAACTCCTAAACCCAACCCTAAACCCTAAACTCCTAAACCCTAACCCTAAACCCTAAACCCTAAACCCTAACTGCAACGAACCCTACAGAACGGTGGTTCGTAATGTTGCAGCTCATCACGCCCAGACCTTCCCTAAATCCTAAACCCCAGACCCTGAATAATGATCCCTAAATCCTAAACCCTAAGCCCGAAATAATAATGATCCCTAAATCCTACACCCTAAACCCTAAATCCTCAATCCTGAACCCTAAACGCTAATCCCTAAATTTCCTAAATCCCAAGCCTAAGTCCTATATCCTAACCCCAGGCCCTAGACCCTGCATCAAGACGCAGGGACTGGCTTCGGATTCGGAGTCGCATGCGATATAGACGCAATCAAAATTTCAATAGGGTTTCGGCGCAAATGATACCATGACGGGGAACAATGAAAAATCCTAAGGAGCCCTTGGGCAAATACAGACATAGATTCTAGTTGCTGTAGCGCATCGAATGGAACAATATCATACTGACCTACAATAACGGGCCGACCCCGCGTTCGCGCACGCGAAGCGCGCCATTTAGGAAATTAGAAAATCTGGCTTTTCCGGGACGCGAGACAGTTCGATTCCGTGATCGGCGGTGTCTGTTGCGCCTCACGTTCATCGCGCTGGCACGTCCTCGCAGCCTTTTCTGTGGGCTTCGGTGCCTCGGATCTTCCTTTGGGCTTGCTGGCGTAGTGCATATTTCCTGCTTGATTTTGCTTTCGGCTGCCTTGGTTTTGACCTGGGTGCGATCGGTCATTTGGCAGTCGTTCGGGGTGACCCATCAAAAAAGAAATGGTAAGCATCAAAAAAATACCACGGTAGCCATCAAAAGAATAAACATCTAAAAAAAATGATAAGAGGGTTTAGGCTTTAGAAGGTAGCCATGAAAAAAATGATAGGCATCAAGAAAACTTTGCATGGAGGATTTAGGATTTTTTCGGTTGTTTATCAGCTTTTTAAGATGCTTATCAAGTTTTTCCAGATGCTTATCAAAAACTGATGCCTACCCGACCGCAAGGTGCTCTTCCGTTGACGACCTGACGCAGTCAGGTCTCTTTTTTCATGCGCGCACTGCGCTATGTTGCAGTTCATTTCCACGCAACACCCGTGTTTGGGCGCTCTGCTGGGCCTGATACGTTGCCTCCAACCCCCGCTTCGGAAAGAGATAGGTTGTTGCAGCTACAACTAAATAATGACCGTTCGATTCCAAACCAGGAAAGTACTCCTGCACGCAGCAATTTCTCCATAGATATGGATGCTCTGTTCTCAGAACAGATTACACCATGGACGTCATCATGGTTGGGCCATGGATGCTCTGTTCTCAGAACGGCTTTGACCATGGCCAGTTCTGAAACCGGATTAGACCCTTGACGACATCATGCTCGGGCCATGGATGCTCTGAACTCACGACGTGCGAAAGCACTGTCACCCGAGGTTTTGGGCGTGTTCCTAATATGGAAAGTGCCTGAAAAACTGCCTGTGTCGGCTTTTTCTGTGGGAGCAGAAGCAGCAGTCTTGCACGCGAGCATGCTGTCCGCGGGTATTTTAAGGAATCTTGGCCTGAACATGGAAAGGCATGGAAAGGGCTTTAACAGTCGTCCTTAATGGCTTTCTACAGGAGAGGTTCAAGGCTTTTGGGGCTCGATTAAGAAGGCTTTGGTGTGCATGATGCTATAAGTATAAAGGAGCTCTAAGGGAACACTACTGCAAATTATTGCGACCCTTGTGTTACATCCCAGCCGAGCCAGCTACTGGGTAGCTCCCTAAACCGAGCAGAACCCTCCCAACCCCGAAATCGCTAAGCGCGAAACTGAGACTCCTACACGAAACCCCAAACATGAGACCAAAATCCTAACCTCTAAACCTCGGTTCCTAAGAGTGACCTTCTGAATGATGTGGGTACCCTATTTTTTCCTAGCATTCGGTGTTAGCAAGGGGGGGACCCCCAAAAATAAAATGGGCAAAAGGGTACTACTCAGTAACCCAGCCTAGATCCCAAACCCTGAAACCCTGGACCCTCAGGGTTT